CTATCTTTATCTTATAATATTTAAATAGCAATATTTTCAGATCTAGCAATCAATATTAAACGATTTTAATCTCATTCAATTCGTCTCATTGAGACGAATCGATTGGTGGTAAAATCGTTCAAATCTGATCAGAGATATTGCTAATGCGCCATAATACCCTTATTGCGCCACATTATCCTTTAAATTTTGTGTAATATACAATCATCAATAACTCGTGACCTAGTGATTAAAATTAAACAATTTTGGTATCATTCGATTCGTCTTAATGAGGCGAATCGAATGGTATCAAAATTGTTTAATTTGGATTGATAGATCACGAGTTATACTAAATTTTAGCTTAACTGCGCCATAATACCCATACCTACCTTATATTTAATCAAATTCGTTACTTATTTCTATATATATATTAAAATTTAGATTATTAGACCATTTTTAAAATAATATAAATCAAGTTAGAAATTTTATAAGAGATATAGGGCAAAAAGTTAAAGTAAACTTCAAGATGGTGCTTTAACAAAACATACACGAAAAAATCTATAACCCAGATACTTCAGAAAGCCAACATACCAGAAGATGCCATTATAAATATTGCAGGACACAGAGGTTCTCAAGGATTATGTACATATAAACTGTTAATGAAAGTCAAAAAGTCAATATGATGAAAACTTTGATCAATACTATAGAACTGGCATCAAATACAAATATAATAAACCAAGAATCACCTACAGTACTTACCAAAATTACTAGATATCAGATTAATTTTAATACGGATATGCAAGATATTAATATGGTTCAAGGGCAAATTCATAGCGAACTTCAAAATAAACGTTCTATTTTTAATAACTGTCATTGTACAAATGTTTGTCACAATAATGTGTTTATAAGAAATTAAACTTAGCTATAAGAATTTGTAAAAGTTAAGGCCAACGATTCTTTACAAGCAAATATGTATTAAAGCATTTTTTCTTTATTCAACTATTAGCAATTAAATAAACATTTGCATTATAATTATAAAAGTAAATTTTAATACATGTAAAGTACTGACCCGATCCAAAAAATATGAGACCGTGGGATATTTTCACAGCTGATCAGCTGTGTGAAAATATCAGTGTGGAGTATCACAGACGACCATTAGGAGACATAGGATAATAAAGTTTAAATGATTATACAGTATATCAAAATAATAATTTAATTTATTATATTCTAATATTACTATATTACTCTGCATTGAGGTTACACTTTTATGTAACATAGTATAAAAATCCTAAAGCTTATGAAAAATAAGTAAAAAATTAAAAAGCTGAAGATTACTTTAGTCTATATTCACAATTTTAGCAACTGTGTTACGTAACTATTTAATAGTATTGTAGTAGGAGGATTAATAATAATTGTGGGTTTTCTTTATTTATATATTTAGACATTCAGATTGTAATAGTCTAATCTGATTTATACTGTAGATATTTTACCAGTTGCTCGGGTAATTCTTAAACAGGTACAATATCTAGTTAGTGTTAAAAGAAATGAAATTTTGTATATCGATTAGAGGTGCAGGTGAAACTTGAATCATTGGGATGTGCCATGTCAAAACTCAGTTATAACTAGTTACAACTTGTCGAGTAAAGATGCGGCAAATTGAAACCTGCAAATTCACCAATATAGTTACGGCATAACGTATAATGTACCTTGTGTCACAACATATTTATATGCCGTAACCTGTATCAATCAGATATCTATATACGTACAACGTATATATATACAGCTACATACGTACCTAAAATGTACAGTACAGCAGTACATACAAGATTTTTCACAACTCTCATAATTTAAAAAATAGAGAAAGAACATAAATAAATATTTTCCAAGGACAAAGCATAAGATTGATTACCATTACAATATTACATAATTGTGCTTTAGTAAAACTAGCTATTAATTTTGTAATCACTATATTATATGTAATATTTGTGAAATCTATATTATATATACATATTTAAAGCTTTATATATTATTCTAATCATCTTCAAGCATTCGAGCTACTACGCTTGCAGGATCGTAATTAGTATTTTCCACACCTATTCGTTGTATGCTATTGTCTGATGTTCTACTTTGCTCCTCAATAAATGAGTCATTATTACCAATAAATAATGGACTTGAAACATCAATAGCTTCCTCAATTGATAAATTTGTATCATCGATACTATCCAGTTGTAGTTGATAAGGTTCGGAAATATGCTTGAAAACTTCATTAACATTTTGATCAATAGTTTCCAATTGACTTGCATTAATGGTGGATCCATTTACACTGTCTTTCAAGTCACATTCTAGTAATTCACCACCATAAAAATGCAATTCTTTCTTAATATTTGTATAGTAAAATGCACAAACTTTAGCAATTGCTTCTAAATGTGAAATACTGAGTCTTGTTCTTCGATCTCCAAATATCCACTTTAAGGTTGAGAAATT